CTATTTGTGGTAGCTGAGGTAGTGATATTATGAAAGACGTGTAGTTATGGTAAGAATATGGTCGTGTCGTGAAGGGCGCGTAGTTGTGGGAGGGATGTTCATCTTATGAAGGGCGTGTAGTTGTGATAGGGATGTGTTCATCTTATGAAGGGGGTGTAGTTGTGGTAGGGATGTGTTTATCTTAAGAAGGGGGTGTAGTTGTGGTAGGAATGTGGTAATGTTATGAAAGACGTGTAGTTGTGGGAGGGATATAGTTATGTTAAGAACGTGAGTTCAGTAGTAGTTAATAGCGTTAGAAGTGATACAAAAAGTGTTGTGTAATTGTGGCATTTGATAAGTTGTGGCAGCTCTGTACTATCAGAGCTCCAGGTGATAGATAGTGACATAACTGAATAAGAGCATAAGAAGAACATAAGAATGGAGGAAACTGCAGCGGGCCTATTGGCCAATACTGGGCAGTCCCATTTACACCCAGCCCCTATTGCCTATAAGCATCCAACCTATGTTTGAAGCTATCCAGCGTATTCGAGTTAATGATGATATTTGGTAACTTGTTCCACTCATAAACCACTCTATTTCCAAACCAATGTTTACCTATTTCGGCCCTAAATCTAAATTTGTCTAATTTAAAACCATTGTTACGAGTTCGCTCCTGGTTGGATAGTTTGAGTACCTTTGTAATGTCCCATTTTTTTAGCCCTGACTTCCATTTATACACCTCTATCATGTCGCCCATCGCTCTACATTTCTCGAGGGAGTGCAAATTAAGATGCTTTAACCTGTCTCTGTACTCAAGGTTCTTAATGCCCGGGATTGGTCTTGTCATTCTCCTCTGAATTCTTTCCAAGGATTCTATATCCATTCTGTAAAACGGTGACCAGAATTGAACTGCGTAATGCAAGTGAGGTCTCACAAGCGCAAGATATAGTCTTAAGATGACCTCGCTAGTCTTGTAACTAACACTCCTTTGTATGAACCCAAGTACTTTATTGGCCATGTTTCGAGCAAAAACACATTGTTTACTTGGCTTAAGATTCCTACTTATCATTACTCCTAAATCTCTCTCTCAGTCGTTGTTCATCTGGTATCTGGTTTCCCTGTTTACATCTCCTACACTGAGTTTTTACATTTGTCCACATTGAATTTCATCTGCCATTTTTCAGACCATTCATAAAATTTTTTAGATCTTCCTATAGTTTTGCAGAGTCCTCGTCAGATTTAATTACACGTCCTATTTTAGTGTCATCAGCAAATTTACTTATGTTGCTGTCTATGCCGATATCTATGTCGTTTATGAATATAATAAATAATAATGGACCAAGCACTGAGCTTTGGGGAACTCCACTAGTGACGTTGCTCCAATGGGATTTAGTGCCGTTAATGCCCATCTGCTGTTTCCTGTTCTCTAACCACGCCCTAATCTGTCGAAGGCTTTGCTAAAGTCGAGATATGCCACATCATAATTGTGCCCCTCGTCCACTGATTCGAGAACTGATGAAAAGAATGTTAATAGATTGGTTAGACATGAACGCCCGCTTGTGAAGCCATGCTGGGATCATTGATCAACTTGTGCTTCTCCAGGTGATTTCGAATAGAGTTTGAAATGATTGCTTCCAGTAGTTTGCCTACAATTGATGTTAGACTGATTGGACGGTAGTTAGAGGATAGTGATCTATCTCCCTCCTTGAAAATCGGTATTACATTCGCTATCCTCCAGGATTCTGGGACTACTCCTGTTTTTAAGGACATGTTAAACAACTTTGCTAAGGGCATACTAAGCTCTTCCTTACATTCCTTTAATACTCTGGCAAATATCTCATCGGGACCAGGTGACTTATTAGGCTTAGTTTGTCTATTTGCTTACTAACATCGTTACAAGTCACTACTATCTCGATTAATTTGTTTTCTTCACTATCTCTGTATAGAGTCGGTGCCTAGGGTATCATGTTTAAATTTTCTGTGGTGAAAACTGTTGAAAAATGTTTATTCCGATTATTGCTCATTTCTCCGTCGTTATCAGTTAGCTCACCCGTATCTGACTGTATTAGTCCAACTTTCTCGTGTTTTAGTTTGATACATTTGATAGAATCCCTTGGGGTTTGACTTCTTGTTATCCTCAGCTCATTATTCCTCTTTGTTTTTCTTATCTCGGTCTTAACCCCACCGGCCAATACCTTATAATAATCTTGAGGTAACCGCCATGATTTATCCTCCTACCTATAGCCTTGACCAATAATGTTCTTTAAATAATTATTTATCCATTTAGGTCATTGTTGTTTGATATGAGTTTGTATGGTATGTTCTGCCTTTGTGCATTAAGTAACTCATTATTTAAATTGTCGTGGAACTCGGCAACCTCAGATCTCGTTATCAGGTCCGTCTCAACTGTCACATCATGTGAGGTCATGTAGTTCACCCCCAAGCGTGATACCCCTTCTCTCAACTGCCTCTTCAAACTATCGAAGTTTGCCCTTCAAAAAGGAGGTTATTCATGGGTGTTATATTGTTGTAACTTGTGTAATTGTTCTTCAATAGAGACCAATAGTATAAAAATTTAAGACAATAAAGATTCTGTGTTTAATGATAAAACCTGGTCGTGTGGTAATGGTGGTGGTCAGTATAATATCTGGTGGTGGGGTGGTGGTAGAGTAAACTGCAACACAATTAATCATTTTGCAAACACATTGAGAGTGATGCAGTCTGATTGTGAGATGCGGTACTAATGTTTTGCAATCTTTGTATCTGATAAATAATTGATTTTCAGAATTCATCTTCAAGATTATCAGAATCTTCCTGTTTAGAGAGAAAACTCTAGTGCAAAGCTTATTATCAATGATGAACACAAAGATCTTGAGATTGTTAAGGCTTAAAGTGAAGAATAAGAAACATGAGAATATGGGATTGATCAACATTTGGTTGTAAATGAATATCAAGTAAATACTGTGGTATAGTAGTGCTGGCAGTCGTGATGGGAGATCGGTAGTGGTAAATACTGGTTAAAGTTGGCGTGGCGTCAGTGGTGATGACCGTGTTGTTATGTGGTGCAAAGGTGGTTATCGTATTGGTACAGTTGTGGAAAAGCGTTCCTACACCCCCGTAACTCGTGTCTCCAAACGGTCAACCTATGACTTATCTACCAATCACGTCCGTTGTTACACAACCAATACCCATACATTCACAAATAGTGATACTATTACTGTGACTATGCCGTTTAGAGACACAGGCTACCACAGGGAGTGTAGGAACACATTTCCGCAACTGTACGTGGTACAGTGGTTGTTACTGTCAGTACGTACATGTAGCTATGTTAATATACAATTTGTAATAGTGGTCATGGAATATGTGTCCAGTTGTGGTTGTAGAAGTAATTGTGCTGAGGGTGATGATACTGGTGATTTTAGTGACTTTGGTAACTACTATATTAATACAATAGCTGTGGTAGTGATAATCCGTGGGCGTAGAAGTGCTCACAGAGAAGGTGATCACGGTAATAGCTGTACCTTGTGTAAACAACTCTGGTTAGCTTACTAACTGCAGTAGAGTTACGTGGTCGGTGATTTACTAGTGCAGTACCTTCAACTCCGTACTACAGCACGACTATTGACAACCGACAACATCCCGATAATCTACAAATACAAACACAGAGTGCATATTGCACACAAGAGAATCTTTCGAAGCTTGTGTGTCCATACCGGCAGAACGAGCGATGCTGGTAACTACAGATGGGTGAGGTATAGGGAGGGGCGCCGACGAAGAACTTGTGATTGACCTAAATGTCTGAGTAGGTTCTCAACGTGTGTTGCTGATAGTCAGGAGTACTACCTGCCTAAAAATCACTAGAATATGTTGTTGGCTGTGGGGCAAAACTGAGGTGTATTTGATGATGTGCACAAAGTTCATGATCTTTTTAATTATTTACATTACATGAGTGACTTTTTGCATTATCGACAATTAATTACTAGAGGTTGGAAAGTTATTAAGCTTAAAAGTTAATATCAAATTCCGTATTATACATCACTGCCAGAAAACAAAACAAAACAAAACGTGTCTTCGATTTGTGCATCTCAACACATCAAACCATGTACTGTACTACCCGACACTCATACACATGCGCGCGCACACGCAGCAGTACTGCAAGTGCTACCCCGACACAGATTCACACCAACACAGCAACACATGACGTTATACGTTACCTGGTCTGTGTCGAGTACTACTGCGTCACCTCACAGGCGTCACCACACCTTCTGCCCAACTCATTATTCTTGAGGTCAACTAGTCTGTAACCTGATGTAAACATGGTGAATGAGGAGGAGCGGGAGTCGTCACATATTTAACACTCTACGCGCACTATTCTGGTATGAATCTGACTCGCATCCTGTCGGGTAGTGTGCAGAGAACCTGCACACGCAATGGGTAATACCATCTAGTGTCTGGACTCGATACATGTAATGTTCGGGAGCAAATTAGCAGTTGGGTGACTTAATAAACTTGAGAATTATTTTCGGAAACGAAACCTGCCCTGCCACCTAAACATTTATCGTATTGGTAAATGATGGATAGGTTGATCACATGGCCGCGCCCTCGCGTCTGCGGAAGCAGTTACAGCGTGTTTCCACAAGCTAAGGAACAATATAGGGTCAACTGAGAGGTAAATCCTCACAACCCAAGCTACACGTACACCAAAATGACTCAATATCGAAAACCTGAAAATTCGTTTCACGGATTTTAATATTCTGAAGGTGCTTTATTTATTATATCACGGCGTCCTTAAATGTTACCAGTTACGTAATTAAGCATTGCATTGAAAAGCCTAGTTCAGCAGTCCTCCTTCATTGTATGGAAAACTTTAAAAAGGGTTACAAATCTCACTTGAAGTAACGTTTTTCCAGGATGAATTCGTACTTATTGACAAATGTCACTTGTGGAGAATTGTGTAGCTCAAGTTGCGAGTTCCAGACGTTGGAAGGTACAAGCAAAGGACAAGCGGGTGTGACACTCACCAGGATCCTGTTCTTGGTAGAGTACTTGCCATCCATGCCCAGGCCTTGGGGGAGACCACACATTGTTAGTAGATGGGAGAAGGGATCATAACTTATAGGGTGACGATGACATTCTTGAGGTAACAGTGCAGGATTAACATGCGAGAGAACTGACCTTCTGATTAACAAAAATCTATGATGTTAAAGTTTTTGATGAATATAATTATAAGAAGGGAAAATTATCAACAATAACACCAAAGGACAAATCAACTGGAGAGAAACATACTGAAAGAAACGGTTTATTAAATATAAGTGGGGGCTGGTGTGCACAGAAGTATACAGTTCACATGAGGTATTGCAAAGTGTGCAGCACAATTTCTGTTGAGGACCAGGGCCTAGATTCACTAACACTGCTGAGATACGAAGTTCATAACAGTCGGGAGATCCAAGTCCATATGAACTACCTTAAGAACGATTCACTAACGGTTCATAACCTAGTTGTGGTGGTCATACAGACTCTGGCATTTGTTCTTGAAATGCCAACAGGTAGACGGTAGTGTGACTCCCAGCCAATCACTGCTACTGATACATAATTGAGTAGGAGACGTAAGCCAATCATGTCATAACAAAATTAGACCTGCGGGTGCACGTGATCATCTCGACCAAAGAGTATATACGAGAGATAGGAAAGCTCGAGCTTTTGGATGTGCGTTTAGTAAGGGACTGTGAGGCAGATAACGTTAGTATCTGTGAGAACTTCGTCTGTTTGATTGCCGAATTGGTCAATTTCAGTGGCGCCAAGTATATACACAGCAGCCATGCCTCACCCGTGCTTCCTGTGCGGAAGAAATTCATCCTACTTTTATATTTCATCGATTTCCTCGACAACAGGAACAGTAGTAGGTAGTAGGCAATTATCAAACAGGGAGGTACTATCGCCTGGGAACATATTGGAAGCATAATGTATTGTCTAATGGTAGACCCTGCTGCTATATGGCATCACAAAAATTGTGACCAAGTCCCAGGTTGCTGATCTGACTTTCTCCTTCATTTACACACAATTGCAGGGTCTCAATTGTTTCTCTTACCATTGACAACACAACATACATACAGTATATCGTTTCTCACTTTTGATTTTTTTCTTTATGGTTCTTTATTATTGTTATTATTATTACAGTGTTATTATTATTATTGTTATCATTATTTTTATGTTTGTATCTTTTATTATAAATTTTACTTATCTGAATTATTATTATTATTATTATTATTATTATTATTATTATTATTATTATTATTATTATTATTATTATTATATTATTATTATTATTGTTATTGCATTTTCCTCCCAGGTCCCGAGGGTTAGTGACCTGGACCCGGGTAGGCTAATCCTGTAAAAAAAAAATAATAATAATAATAATAATAATAAAAATAAATAAATGTGAGTGTAATAATAAACTATATATAATGCACAATTAACACAATATATGAATGCTGGGAGGTGCTGGTTTGGCACCACTGTAGTATGGGCAACGAACGCAGAGCTCAGTTCTGGCTCAGACTTCCGCTGTGAGGTCTTGTCTGCCCCCCTCCCCTCCCCGTCATCTTCGCCAATAAATGGACTATGGAGGCGGCCCTTACTTAACCCCCGGGTTGGCATCCTAACATGGCGCAGTGAGTAGGATATGAATAATGGCTTGATTATATTTGGAGCCTTGCAGATAGATGGCGCTGATTTCTGCTTTGCGGCACACGGTTAATTCAATTGCTTTCTTAAGCTTTCCTATCTTTTGTATATAGTCTTTGATTTCGACTTCCCTTCTTATCTGAACACCGGAAACTACATCAACACAGTAAACACCGAAAACAAGAATGAGGTAAGTCATTCATAGTATTATGATTTTTATAAATTTGGTAAGGTTTCTAAAGGTTTCTTTGGTGTTCTTTATTGTATTTTACCCCATATTTTCCTTTTTCTTCAAATCCCTGCCCACTTTGAGCAACCAATAATGTTGGTAATTGGAAGTAACAAAACATTATGTACGGCTGTACACTGCTAAGACATTGATCAAATATCCCCTATGTTGTATCATTTTACTAGATATATGGTAAATTTTACACACTGCTAGATGGGTTAAAAATACTTGTTTCATAGCATTTTCTAATGTCATTATTGTAAGCGAAATTTCTCAGGAAATCTCATTGTCACCAAACCTAACCTATTGTATTTTACCATAAATGCCTTAGATGAGCAGGAACCTAGGTTGTTAGGTAAATTTTCCTACTCCTGATTAGATTTAATATAAAGTTTACTCTCACATCTGTGGTTAAAACCTTGGCAGCCTTACCTAACATAACCTTGGTTTTCAATCATCTTAGTTTACAAAGACTGCCATGACAGTCTTGATACACTTTGTAATTTTAATCGTGTATTTATAGACAACAGCACTCTATGATAACGCATATACTCAGATCAGCAATTGTTTTCTATTGGAAAGCTTTACAAAGTAATATATTAAAACCTGTTTTGCTTTTTAGAAGGACCAAGCAATGTACTACCCCTGACTGCAACAGAAGAAGCAATGGCTGGCTGGCTAAATTAGTGATGTTGCCATTCAGGGATGTTTGTTTCAGAAGAAGAGTGTTTTATTTTCTAATTGTAGCCTCGGTGGAGGAAGTTTAGGTTAGCCAGTTGCGTGTGATGAAATCTACAAATTGGTACAACTGCATCGGAAAGAATTGCCATATAAATTTAATGTTAATTTAAGTTATGTTAGGTTAGGTTAGGTTAGATTCTGTGCAGGAGGTAGCAGTAAATGCCTTACAAGAACTTCATGCATCAGTTGGGGCATGGGGAGCTGAGCATCAATAAGTAGATGGCCTCAGCATAGGTTTGTTTTATCTCTTTGAATTGCATACAATTCAAATATGTAGCAAATATTGTCTATTTTGAGGATTATTATATTTTCTTTTTGCCATACCTTACAATTGACCTTTTAGTCATGTATAGTACCGTAATGAGAATCTCAGGGTGGTTACAGTAGTTCCTTTACCAATTATTATCTGCTACTGTAAAGTACATCTTTTTTTTTTAATATTGTGATTCCCTTTCATGAACATAAGTACAGTAGGAGTAAATAAAAAAGAAAATTAAATTTCTTTACAATATTTTCCTGCACTGTATACTGTACCTACTTATTAAAACAATAACAGTGTTAAACTTCATTTTAGTTCAGTGTCCCTTTATTTCTTAGTAGTATTTATGTGAAATGCTTCAAAGGTAGCGTATATATAAACATATATATATATATATATATATATATATATATATATATATATATATATATATATATATATATATATATATATATATATATATATATATATATATATAAAAGAACATAAGAATGGAGGAAACTGCAGCGGGCCTATTGGCCCATACTGGGCAGTCCCATTTACACCCAACCCCTATTGCTCATATAAGCATCCAACCTATGTGTGAAGCTATCCAGTGTATTCCAGTTAATGATGATATTTGGTAACTTGTTCCATTCATCCACTACTCTGTTTCCAAACCAGTGTGTACCAATTTCGCCCCTAAATCTAAATTTGTCTAATTTAAAACCATTGTTACGAGTTCGCTCCTGGTTGGATAGTTTGAGTACCTTGGTAATGTCCCCTTTGTTCAGCCCTGTCTTCCATTTATACACCTCTATCATGTCGCCCATCGCTCTACGTGTGTGTGTGTGTGTGTGTAATATTCAGAAATTTTAATGTGATATTTTGAAACGTTAGAACAGAAATAACCGATCTGCCGAAACAGGAAAGCATAAGTAGGCCAGGCTGAAACACCCACGCCTCATGGTGAGTACAACTAGGGCAAGCAACGCCATGAAGCGCGGTTGAAGCATTTTGAACTAGGCCTATATAAAACTAAAGGTACTTTATCGAATTAATGTAGACACGTTTCATGAAGTTAAGGGACAATTATAAAATTTTAAGTTATTGTGGATAGTTTCTCAGTCTAAATATGTTACGTGTTTCCCAAAGAAACTATTAGTAATACGCGAAAAATTACGTCACTGGGTAAGGCAGGCCCGCTTTGAGGGATGCCGACGTGAACATGACCCGAAGAAACTACAGGAGACATCCCACGGAAACAAACAGACATCTCCTGCAAGTCATAGTTAAGGATACCAGGGAAGAGAAGGAAGAAATCAAAAGTGTAAGCTGGCTCAAGTGGTGCTCCAAACTGAACGAGCACACCTCCCTCGGCAAAATGTGGGCCCAGATCCGAAGGGCATCTGGGAAGGCAACACCACCACCACCAACCCATCCCAACCCAGAAGAGGAAGCCGAGAAACTTGCAAAACTGTTCTCTGACCGAGCAGCAACGAAAAACCTCTCGAGACACGCGGAGGAGACACAACGGCGTCTGCGACAGGCCAGACTCCAGATGATCGAAGAGGCCTGCAACAGTGAAGGTGACACCGACAGACCCTTCAACCAGCAAGAACTCCAGAAGTCGATAAAACGAAGCAAGGACACAGCACCAGGGGCCGACAGGATAACCTACTCCATGCTTTCCCATGCCGGAAAAGCTGGGCACGAGGCTCTGCTACAAGTCATCAATGCTTCGTGGACAGCACAAAGACTTCCACCGGAATGGAAGAAGGCAGATATACAGCCTATTCCGAAGCCCAGAGAACCAGACAAACCGAGACCCATCTTCCTTCTCAGCTGCATAGCAAAGACGGGAGAAAGAATGGCTCTCAACAGACTCAATTGGAAAGTAGGCAGCCCACACCTTCACATCGTTGCTTACACCGAGAACACCGGCACAGGCAACAACATCGCCGAGATACTCAGCACAGTGGACAATAAACCAGCTTTGGTGGTCTTCCTGGAGAAGGCCTTCGAAATAGCAAATCCACTGGCCATTATAACGACACTCGCTGAAAAAGGCGTCAAAGGAAGGTTACTGGGATGGATCCAGAACTACCTCACACAGAGAGAAGCAAGAGTACGCTTTCAGGGAGCAACCTCAAGCTACAGGGTCCATGAAAAC